CCTGCGTGGAGTGGCCGCATGCTCACGGGCCATGTTGATTGTGAGTGCGTCTTGACGGCGTTCATTCATTTCTCTCTCTCTCTGTCTGTCTTTCCCTGTTGCGTGTGAGGCGTGTTGCACCGCGTGAGGGCTGCCTCGCACACACCGACGGCCCGCCGTGACTTGCCGTGTTGCTGCTCTTTTCTGTGGGCGATGGTCCTCCGTGCCGTCCCTTCCGGATTGTCTTGTGTCCCGCACTCCTCGTGGGTGCTCTGCTCCTCACTGACGTGTCTGACGTATTGCCGCTGTTGTTGTTCTCTCCACTTATTGAACACAAGCACGCTAGGAGAGAAGGAAAACAAGCGCTAATCGCTACTGTGAAATTCGAAGGCACCAAAAGGACCAACAGCACACAGACCGCCCACACACACATATTTATATGCTCTCACGTGTTGCTGCTGTGAAGGCACCCCGCACGCACAACCGTCGCCGCGTGACCGGATCCAGCGGAAGGAGGAGGGAAGGAAGAGAGAGTGAGCCGCAGAGGCCCAACATGTCCCGGCGCGTGTTTGCTTCCGCGGTGCTTCTCCTCCTCGTGATGATGTGCTGCGGCAGTGGAAGAGCTGCAGCCGCTGATGGAATAAAACAAGGAATACCATTGATCCATTTAAGGGGACGACGTCGATATCATTTGCTAATTGGAAGGAGTTTGAGGACGGCGGCAAAATCACCTCGCTCCGTGTTTCTGGCCTCGTTAAAGTGGGTGATGATGTATTTGCCGTTGCTGAAGCGCAGTGCGAGGAGGAGAACGGATCCGGCCGCCGTGCTGGGATTGTCTCAAAGCACCTGAATATAAGTGGCAGCGCAATGGATATTTCTACGTCTTATATAAGTTTTTTTTGCATGCAAATTGGGGACACCGCCGCGAATAATTTTGGGACACCAGAAGTGTTGCGGCCAACGACAGTTGTAATTGAGGACAGTGTCTACATGCTCCTGGGAAACTACAGCCATACAAGGTCGCAGGTTGCGGGTACGAAAGAGCGGGGCCTTTTGCTCGTGAAGGGAACTGTCACGGTGGATGGTGGAAACAACAAGAAACTTTTGTGGAATTAGACACATGCAGTGGAGCCTCAAGGCAGAGGAGATTCTTATTCCTTGACCGAGTTAGTTGGCGGTGGAGGATCGGGCGCTGTGATGCGTGACGGCACGCTTGTGTTTCCCATGCAGGCCAAAGGCAACGATGGAAGGAGCGTTTTGCTGTCTATGCGTCTCTCCAAGTCGGAGGACAAATGGTGGCTTTCGCAAAAAACGCCTGGTAACGGCTGCAGGGATCCAACCCTGGTGAAGTGGAAAGAAAAGAAAGACGACGAAAGACTCTTCATGATGGCTCATTGTGCTGGAGGCTACTATGACGTTTACATGTCCACTCCGCATGGAGTCAATTGGTATACGTCGGGTCAGCCAATTACCCGCGTGTGGGGCAACTCACACAATCGAAAGGGGCACGGCGTCCAGAGCGGATCTACCACCGCAATCATTGAGGGAAAGGAGGTGATGCTCATCACCGCGCCGGTGTATGCGAAGGGGGGAAATGGAAAAGGTCGGCTCCATCTTTGGGTGACGGAAAATGCACGTGTGCATGATCTTGGGCCGGTATCTCGTGAGGGTGATGACGCTGCCGCCAGCTCGCTGTTGATGAAGAAGAATAATGAGTTGATTTCACTGTACGAGAACAAGAAGGGTGATGACGGATCATACAGTCTTGTCGCCGTGCGTCTGACCGAGAAACTGGAGCGGATAAAGGAAGTTGTGAAGAAATGGAAGGATTTGGACAGCGCCTTGCATTCATGCCGTTCCGGTTCCAGCGCCACTGTTGATCCGATAGAAAAGGGTATGTGTAAAGGTACTGTTCCCACTGATGGGCTTGTTGGCTTCTTGTCTGGTAACTTCTCTGAGAACACATGGAGAGACGAGTACATTGGCGTGAATGCAACATTGACGAATGGGAAGAGAAGGGTTCCCAATGGATGGACGTTCAAAGGAACCGGAGCAGGTGCGGTGTGGCCTGTTGGCGACATGGGGCAGACTGTGCCGTACTACTTTGCGAACACCGAGTTCACTCTTGTGGCGACGGTGTCCATCCACGAGGTGCCACAGAGTGACAGCAGCCCCGTTTCTTTGATGGGTGTGATCATGAATGACACCAAAGGCACGATCCTTTTTGGTCTGTCGTGCACCCATGACAAGAAGTGGCTGGCCATAGCGGAGAAACGTGCTATTTCGAAGAGTGTTGGTGCGTGGGAGCCAAACAAGACGTATCGGGTGGTACTGCAAATGGATTATGATGAATGGACTGTCATTGTAGATAGAAAGGAAATCGACCACAAGAGCTATGATAAGAGTCTGTTTAACTTCCACAGGATTTCACACTTCTACATCGGTGGGGACAGTAAGCACCAAAGTGCAACGGGCGGCCACGCGACGGTGACCAACGTCATGCTGTACAACGAGGAACTGTTGGAAGGTGATCTGCATAAACTCAATGCCAGCAAAGTCACTATTCCATCACTGGGTGTTGAGAAACAACCCACAGGTCAGGTGGCTGGCACAGACGTCTCATTTGCTTCTGAGTCAAGGAGTGAGGAAAGCGCCACCAGCAATGAGGAATTGAATGAGGATGATATTGAAAAACAAGAGGAAGGAAGCGTCGATGATCTGGTGCCTGCAGCGCCCTCTTCCACGGATGCCGAGGGATCATCTGTTCCTGAACCCGCCATTGCAACGGAGATCGCAGGGAACTCTCGTCCAGATGACAATGCCCAGCTTTCCGAAGGCGAAACGTCTCAGCAAGCCACGCCGCATGAAGGCAGTGAATCGATGCAGCGGGATTCAGATGTGCAGACACAAGACCTACAATCAGAGGAGTCAACGGAGTTCAATGATGTCGAAGGATCCTCTGAAAGTTATGATACACCACAGCCAGAGGAGGATGGAGAAGCAAATGACAGGAGTGGCAAATCAACGTCTTCAGTGGCTTCGTCACTGATTATGGAAACGGTCACCGGACCAGCTGACGGTGAGCACCAAGTGCAACAAAGCACTGAGCTTTCCGCTGAAAACAACGAAGTGCGTTCCAGTGGAACCAGAACCACCGGCACGGAGCAAAGCCTCGGCCTCGAGGCTGGGGACGGAAGTTCCGAGAGAACAATGGGCTCAGGCAGCAGCCTCACTCCTTCAAAGAGTGACGCCGAAACAAAATCCGCGGAGAACACCGACGACGTCTCTCGGATTGAACGAGAAGAAGTTTCTTCTGAAAACGGCGAGGAGGTGCCACAGACGTTCGACACCGCACCGGGTAACACAAACACCACGCCTGGGGAAACCGCAATCCCATCGGAGTCCAACGCAACAATACCCTCGGACACTGAAATTTTGCTTGAGAACGGGCATTACAGCGAGTTGGCGGGCATGGCTCTATTTGCTGAGAGCACCGTGCATGGGTGTGTGTCTCGGGTGTTGTTGCTGCTGCTTCTGGGGCTGTGGGGCACTGCGGCTCCCTGTTGAATGAATTGGGGAGAGCAAAGTTGCGAAATTCTGTGGAGCAGCAACTGAGCGGCATCCCAGCAATACTCAATGAGTTTTGTTAATTCCACTTTCTTTTTTAGGAGCTTGTGAAAAGAATGATCGCGGGAGAGCTGGCTAACTTAATTAATGTATGTGTATATCCTGATAAATGAATGCATTCTTTATGATACTTTCTACCGTATGAATCTTTTGGGAAGAACGCGACTTTGTAGGGGCAGGGAGCCGATAGAGGCCAGATAATATTTTTAATTTTATTTTTACGGACACACAGCCAGGTAAGTTTAAGGAAATGACTTTGGTTCCCTACACACCCTCCGAGTGGTGTGATATTGGCGCCCGTCTCTGGGAAATGGTGTGCCAATGTGGCGAGACCCAGGTGCAGATGACGTTCATTGATGGTAACCAGCTGTCGGACGGGACGTTAACCGTGGCCGCATCATCCACAGGCTTATGCTTGCTCCATGGACCTGTCTCTAAAGCATGGCAGGATTCTACTCTTATTGGACATATTGCGAATCTACGGGCGCCTCAGATCCCTAATTTCGAGACACAAGTGCTCCTGCCCGCTATGGGGGCAGCCCGGGAGTTGGGGCACCAACAAGGGCTCATCACTGCTGAAAGGGAGCGCCTGAATTTTGATTACGCGAACGCCGTCGCGGACGTGCAGAATCGGAATGCTCAGCTTAACTCGCAGGTTGAGAAGGCGCATCAAAACCTATCGGTAAGGGAATCCAATATCGCCGGGGCCGGCAACCAGGTCCTAGAACTACAAAAGCAGTTGGAGGCCGATCGCGCCCAATTACGGGAGCGCGAATTCAACTTGGGAGTCCTCACTGCTCAACTCCAGGAACGGGAGGCACGCCATAACGCACTACAACCCGCGCGGTATGCGGAGACGGCGGGGCGGGGCAAGGCCCCCGCTACTTAACACGTTGCCAACGATGGCGTAACTACACTACCGCATCGAACGGATATCTTGATGGCTGGAGGCGTGCCTAGCAGTGCGGCCCGACACAGTTCGGCGGCCTACAGACTCTCTCACGGCAATGTTGGGAGACCACATTTCCACCCCTCCATGCCGTTGCCTTCCCGCACTTCTCCCCTGGACGCCCAATTAACTATGGAAGAGGACCGCAGTTTCTGCGCATTTGACGTCACCAGGTAGCCCACGCATACATGGAATGAGGGCGCCTCCGGAGCCGTTTTCGGCCTCCGGTGCGCACACCAATGCTGGCAACAGGACAACGAGCAGGTTAAACTTGCCTTTGACATTTTGGTCGAGTGGATCGGCGTACTGGAGGGCGGGCAGGATCCCACCGAT